TTTTTTTTTGAATCGAAATTTTTAGAAATTTATTCAATATTCAAAAATCTTTGATTCAGATAACTTATAACATATTTAAAGATTTTAATCATATCATTTTTCTTTGTTTCATTGAAGAAAAAATCATCATATATTTACATATAATCGATTATTTGTAGGCATTTAATTTCTTAATTTATATTAACTTTATTTTAGTACAAAGTAATTATGAACATTTAAGTCGTGAAGAACTTTTATATGAACTTGAAATGTCTTTACAACATAATGAAGAATTAAATGAACAATTAAAAAGTAAGTTTTTAATAAAGAAAAAAGAAAAGGAAAACTGAAGAAAAATCCTTTTTTTTTGCAATTTTGAATATAAACATACTTAAATCTACACAGACAAATTTCCTACTATCACTGAATTACACAAACAATTAGTCGAAATACGACATGAACTTTCACGTCAAAAATATGTTAATCAAGTTTTATGGCGTAAACTTAATGCATTAATTGATATTCATGGCTCAAATACACGAGCTGAATTAGCTGTTGAATTAGCTAATTATCAGGATGAACTTGCAAAATTAAAATTACAACAAAGCCGTACGGATGAAGTTCGCTCATCTAAGCTCAATGCTAATTCGAGATCATCATCAGGTCTTTGCTTAGTATTTTGTTGTTTTGTATTATCTGCATTTATTACTTTCCGATATCCCTAAATATTCTAATACTTTTGCACTAATTATTGACTTGCTTTCTTCTTTTTTTTCCTTTACTGTTGATTGATGTAATTGCTTACACACTTTTTACTTCTCTTTCTCTGTCTATGAAAATTAGAACAAAATTTTTGTTCGTTACATAATGGAATGTTATCGACGAGTATTGAATTACCAACAAAAAACATTAAATCAACTATAGCATTATTAGAACGTTCCAATATTGAATGGCAAACAAAATTAGCACGTCTTACAGAACAACTTGGTCGAAGTGAAAATCAATCGAGAAATTATCATCGAGAATTGATTAAATATCAAAATGTATTATATGAAGCTGGTTCGTATTTCTACAATCAAAATCTTTCTCATTTTCTATGAAAGATTAAGTAGTTCTTGGAATTCAATTACAAGAAAAGTCTCTCTCAAGTGATTAATTACTCTTAAATTGAGATTATGTGTATCATGTAGGCCGGATGAGTTAATATGCTGCAGCTCGCTTCTCTCGGGAAAATTGATCTTCGAGTTTCAACTTGAAAATTTGCATAGAAACTAGCCTTAACGCAAATAATTTCTTGCGAAAGTTCAGATATTTTTATTGTTCCTATCTACAGATACAGCCATGGTAAGAACGCATTTTTTATATGACTCATATACATCCGTAAACTCGATGTGCTTATCTCCAGACATGAGTAGACCAAATAGTCGAGTACTTTCATGATTAACTACTATCTGTAAGACTTACTCCTATGTAAAATTTCAAGTTGACATTCAAAAGTAAATTTTCTTGGTATCGCTAAGAGAAACGACGACATTGCATTGAAAAATACTGTAAAAATGCAATATGTCAACAGCAATAAACTAATTGTCCGAACTGTTTTCAAAGTATTCATAACCCATTAGAGTCTATGTGATACACATGTTTTCAAATTTCAAGCAATTAATCAGTTAGCGGACTTTTCACATTAATTTTCATCAGCACATAACTCTCGTCAAACATTTTATAGATAACATCAAATCACGTTAGATTTATTAGTCAATAATTTGAAATTAAAGTCAATACATATGAGCATTTTTTGTTCAAACTTGCATCCTTTTTATCATAAGCATTGTAGTGTAAAGATATTAAAGGAAAAATTAACCTTATCGATTTGAACACTTAACAAATAAAAAACAACATAATTTACACTCTGAGTCGCGTTGAGAAGAGTTTCTATTATTTTTGATTAAAAACTGGATTGATTCTAAAGTTACATTCAATATTAATAGAGTCGAAAAAAGTTCTAAAGAACTTGGAAATTTTTCGAGAAATATCAAATTACACACATGAACATGTATTTCTGTCTTAAACGATTCTAAATCAAATGATAATAACATATTCTTCAATTTTTGGAGGTAATCTTGAACTATGTTGTATTGATAGGAATAGTGATCTATGTAAGATTGATTTTTCTTTTTCGTCAAGTTCGAATAGCAGAAGAAGTCGAACAATTTTTACAAATTAAAGAATGGCTTTTTTTCAAAAGTTTCTAATTAGGAAAATCTTAGATCAAATATTTTCTAATTAACAAAGATCTAACTAAAAACATGTTTACATAATTTAGGTTTAATTGAATCATGTATTCGACAACGTCGACGAAGTGCTGATGATTCAGTTATAATGAGTCGAAATGAGTCAAATAAAATAAACAATGATGTTACAGAAATCGATAATATCAATGAACTCAAAGAAATAATTCGTAATCAACGTAAATTTATTCAACAATTACAAATGCGTGTTCGAACTAACACACCAGATATAATTCAATCACCAACGATAGACAAACTTCAACAACAGATACAAGTAAAGATTCGACATTGTTCTTTTTTTTGAATCTATTTTGCTTTGTCACGGTTGTTCTTCGAGTTATCTACGAAAATTTAATTTTGAGAAATATGCAAATAATGACTTTGTAGAAAAACTTAAGTTCAAAAAAAGTCAGAAAAGTCTACGCCAAAAAACATCAAATTTCGATATTTTTAATATTTGTCTGAATCATTTTATAATTTTACTCTTTATATAGTTAAGAAAAAAAAATTTATTTCATTATTGAGAAAATCGATTTATTTGATATAATACTATAAATGTTATTACAATGCAGACTTTTTTGCTGATTTTGTATATGAGATTCGTTTTATTTGGAAATGAATTTTTCATGATCTAGACCTCTGAATAAGAATTCGTATTTATAACGTTTTATTACCATATCGAAAAAAATGGTTTTTTTCAACTATAAAACAATATTTTTCACAAATCATACATAATTTTTTCCTATCTATATAAAGAGTAAACTAAATAAATGATTTCGAATAAATATTGAGACTATCAAGCACAGATGAAACCGATACTGATCGCTAAAACATAAGATCGTTTTCATCTCTGTTACCGAAGTTTGATGTCTTCGACGTAGACTCTTCTGACTGCTTTTGAACATAAGTTTTCTAAATTTTTGCTACAAAAACATTATTCAAATATTTCTTGAACAAGACTTTTAAACGTAACTCGATCAGCTCTATCTAGTTATGTTAAAAAGACAAATTTTACTCAAATTTCATATTGTTGATATCTTGAATAGATAAATAAAATTTTTCTTCTTTTTCTTAGAATTTAAATCTTGTTATTGAAACCTACAAAGATGAATCAAATTTACTTAAAATTGAACTTAAAAAACTGTATAAAACAATTGAACATAGTAGAAAAACACAACAAAACTATGAAAAAATTTTTCGAGAACAACAAACTTGTATTGAACAATCAAAAAAGAAATTAAATAAATATGAACAATTCTTCAAAGTTTGATTTACTCTATTATTAATCTTCAAACTTTTTAGATTGTTTTATTTTTTCTTTTTTTCATTATAGAAATATGATACTCATTTACCAATATTTGATGAAAGAAAAGAACATATTATTGATCAAATGGATGAATATATTATTGATTTAGATATTGACATATTACAAGGAAATGATACGAAAAAAAGTATGTTTATTCAAGTAAATCATTACTTTGTTTTTTTTTATTTCATATTATTATTATTATTATATTATCATCAATTTTCTAGACAGACAGAGAAAGAGAAAGCTAAACGATCATGTATCGTACTTTCACAATGATTATCAAGCACTTTTCTTGATTCTTAATGATTTTTTTCTTTCTTTTACACAAATCACTTCTTTTAACATAGATTGCTATTTTTCTACTCAAAAATTTTTTTTGCTGAAAAAAAATACACACACATACGAGAAACAGAATGAAAGTATTCGATTCTTTTTTTTTCTATTATTACTATTTTTCCTAACGATCACATATACACTTGAAATTCGCAAAAACAAATTTTGTTTTTGTTTTTGATATTTAATTAAAGTTGATTTTATATTCATATTTAGAAACATCAGTGAATAAAAGAGATGGTGCATTAAGTAGTACAATAGATCCAAATGACTTTCAACGACAAATACATGAAAAAGACGAACAAATTCGAATATTAAATAATGATATCAATAGAAAAGGTGAACAAATTCAAGAACTCACGACTAAACTTACTAAGTAAGTCAAATCGTTAATGATACAAAATAATTCAATAGTTCGATTTTTGGAATTTATTTTCTTTCATTATACAAATTGATTTAAAAAAAAAGGAACATTTTTGTATTATAACAACCAAATTGTCTTGTCGAGCTTTAATCGATGTTGAACAGAAAAGTCAATTTAGACAAATTATTCTTAATTTGAGTATTAGAACAAAACAGACTCTGTATGATTTCTATGAACACTGATTCTTTTTTTTGTTCTCACAAGAATTTCAATAGATGAACTAAAAATCTTCTGTATACACGGTCGAGGTTGTAGATATGGGTGTAAGTGTGAGTGAATAGAAGGACTACAGTCATATTCACACTCTAGTTTTCTTTTCCTCGAGAAGAGTCATTAATTTTCTTTCTTTGAACTTGATCTGAAATACTTGTCAGTACTAGTTACATGAGCTTGTATTGGAAGAATATGCCTCAAAGTGGTATTGTAATGCATTCACATCAAGCATCGTTAATCTTAAATAATCTACGCTTGCTTACTTTGCTTAAGTTTAATAAAGTTTTGTTACAGTTTGTTTGTTTAAAACTTGATAATAAAACAATAATAATGACAGCATTTTGATTCATGATTCTGACAATATCTCGATCTCAAAATTGGTAAGTCATTTCTGAAACTACTTATTAAATATTCTCTAATAAAACCTTAAGAAAATCATTCTTTCGTACTTGTATTTGAGAAAATCGGTGCTTATCCAGCTCTGAAAAAAAAACTTTGAATACTTTTCTATTAGTGATAAAAAAATCAGACCAATACTTCTGAGTAGCATGGCGATATTCAACCTTTCTTATCGTGAAGATGTTTACCATCTATCCTGTATACAATTATCGATTTCATACGATCACCTCTCAACTAGAATACAGCCATAAGTTGATTTCAATTTCAATTTAGAATAATTGGTCATAAAAAACAAGAAAACGAAATCGATACTAGAAAATATCAATAGATAGTATTGCGGAGTCTAGGCGATTTTTTTATTTGAAATTAAATTTTGGAAAAAAAAATTACGCTCATTTTTTTCAACAACGGGCATTTAGACAATCTAGGAAAAGACGCCTATTTATCGCCACAAGACAGAAGAATATGTCTTACTTTACATAAAAGATATCACATATCTCACTCATCCAAATCCAGTGACATTTATATATATATATATATTTAATGAGTGTTTCGAATAAGTTATTATTACAGACACATCTGTAAAGTCATAATTTCCTCTACTTTCTTGACGGTCAATCTTTAAAATGATCTGTTATTTTATATAGCTCTATACTCACATTTTTTAGATTATCAAACTAAGGAGACTCTAGAATTATGTCTTATTGTATATACTATAGACCTACTCAATCCACTATGGAAAACAATGGATTATCAAGGTTTATATGTATATCAATAAATGATGCTAAAGATTTTTAGACTCCCATGTGTATTTAATGTATACAAATAAAGAGAAAACCGTGATCACTTTCAAGAGGAAACATTTATAATGTAAATTCTTAAAATCACAACGTATATTAAAAAACGCAAAAAAGTCACAAAGTTTCGCAAGATCCATCAATATTTGGAAATAAGTGGTATAACTGTATATATGTGATAATATATGTATCTAAAGAACTCTAACTAAGTTTGAAATCGAAAGAATTTTTTTTGTAAATTCAGATTGAAATTAAATAGACTATTGTATGATGACATTATACATGCTATATCAGTGAAAATATTACACCGACTTCTAATAGCTGGATGGAAATAAATAACTAAGATCGATTGGTTTTAACTCTACTTGGCTCGCAGCTTAATATCAAAGTAAAATGATGTTTAATAATAAATATCATTAACAATTAGTTGTCTTGCAAAATTTACTCAGGAAAACAGGTCTATCGCGCGAAAACCTTGTCACAAAAATTTACTCATTTTTTGGCTACTAATAGGCAACTGGTTAGAGCCAGAAGCAGTTACTTAGAATCGGTTTTGATGTAGTCATTAAGTGGTTTGTGTCTTAGACAAGCTTCAACTCAATAATTATGTAGAACACGGAATTCTTTACAAAATGAGATATTACAATAAGTGAAATCTCATCTATGAGTTTTCACTAAAGAGCTAGTTTCTATAAAAATCTACATCGGTTAAAATATCGCTGTTTCAAAAACTGCTTTTAAACATATAAAAGTTTTAAAATCCGTCATGAAAAAAGTAAATTGTACACTTTGAAGAGCAGACTTTACTCTACAACACTAAGCTAATAAAGACTGTTTTGCATTTTGATAGAGTCCAAATGAAATACAAAATCGATTAAAATAGTATTCTATATAAGCACTATTTTGGATCTTTCACAACAATCTGATGATTGTGGTCTACTTTTATCCCAGAAAGACACTGTGAACACATATTCGGATAGACCAAAACCTGACTCTAACTAATTGCTAGCAAAAATCAGTTGTCTTTACATGGCCGAAAAATGCGTAAATATTTTTTAGTAAGACTTTCACTTCATAGATTATGGCATATGAATTTGTATGTTCCTCATTGATTTCATCTGAGTATATTTAGTATTTGGTCGGAAGACCTTAGATTCTTAGTTAAGCTAAAAAACACAACTTCTCTGATTAGTATTGTATATAATGTCTAGTGAACGATTGAAAATGGTTTTTCTTTTATAGTTATCTTGAATATATTAAAATGAAAATATTTTAGTTTGGAAAAAGTCAATGAAGATGCTGAATATCGTCATCGTATTGAATGTGATCGAATTCGTCAAGATTTCACTGGTGGATCACGTAAAATTGAAAATGAATTACAAGAAGCACGTTTACAAATCGATTCTCTTAAAACATTAAAAATTCAATTTGATCAAAGTGAAGAAAAAAATCAACGGTAAAACACATCATTTTATTTAAAATATAGAAATCATGAAAAAAATCTTTCTTTAGATTAAATAATGAAATCCAACGTCTAAAGGATGAAATAAAACGTTTAAAAGATGAAGTCAAACGTAATGAATCTGTCATCGACCATTATAAAACTCAAATTACTATATTAGAACGAAAGCCTGTGATGGATGGTACGAACATTTCTTTTTTTGATATTCTTATCAAATAATATTATTTTAGATAATGATACAAGTGAAATTTCAATTCGAAAAAATGAATTATCACAATTATTACAAGAAATGCGTCTTCTTCGTCGTGATCTTGAACGAAGTATCGAAAAGCAAAAAGAATTGCAAGCAAGACTAGATGACAATATTCGTCAATCACGATCACCACGTTCATTTACATTTTCTGGTCGTGGGGTTTCATATCCTGATCTTCGTGTACTTGATGCATCCGGTGTAGTTGGTGCTGAGAATTTATCATCATCAATTATGATTGATGAAAAAGTTTCAAAACCTATAGCTTCATCTACAAGTGAACTTGAACAGGTTGAATATGCTCAGCAATCTTTTGAAGAAACTGTGCCAAGAAGTATGTCAAATGGATGTTTTTTTTTGTTGAGAAAATTTTATATCGAATTATTTCGTTTCAATTTTTAGTTTCTATGCGACAATATATTGTTGGTGAATCAAAAATTCATGACGATCTTCGTCGGTTAATACAAGATATTAGAATTGATTTAAAAGCACTTGCACCGCATTTACAAGATCAACTTCGTTCAAAAACTGTATGTATTTAGAATGCAAAAAAGGGAAATAAGGACAATTTTTTATGAGAATAAAAGAAATTCATCATGGTTTGAAGCATAGAAAAGAATAATATGATTTTTCTGTAAATATCAATGTTTATTTCTATATCAAAAAAAGATTTTAGCGTAAGGATTCAAGTTTTCTTTGGATACGATACAACTGTATGATTTACAGTAAATCTATTGCTGATTAAAAAAAAAATTATCAAATTGAATTCTTGCCGAACTAAAATCGTGCAATCATAGTATAGATTAGATATGTACAGAATCTGAAAGTTCGAGTTTGATCTCGAATATGGTCATTTGCAGTTAATGAATAAGAGAAAGTAGAAGTAAGTCAAAAGAAAGGATTTCAGGATTGGATATGGTAGATCTACACACAGTGAAATAAATGATACAAAAACCGAAGATCTGCCTTTATCCGAAAAAAAGTCAACAATGTTTAGAAATACTCGATTCGGAACTTAAACGAATCTTTGGATGATTCTATGATTGTCCATGTACCTCAAGAAATATTCGGATAATTACTCAGCATTGTTTGAATTAGTTAGTGGTTTCCGAACTCGAACACGAAGTCAGAGCTCGAGTGCGGTGTATGTCAAGTATAAATCAAATACATGAAGAAAATAGAAGCATTGTATGTCAATGGGATATGGTATTTGACGGATTTTATCTATTGATAGTGTAACTCTTGGCAGAAAGATTTTAGTTCTTGAGACAAGTCGTTCTTCATTAAATGTTAAGATTTTTTGAAAAATCACAAAAGAAAAACTTGTAGCAGAACAGTCTCTTTACAATTAAAGTTCATGATAATATTCTCAAGACGACCGCCTTTCCGAAATTTATGAAGAGCAGCTCAGCAAAAATATTTGAAAGTTTCAGAGTGGACAGATTTCAACGAGCTGAGCAAAAGTTATTATACACTTGAAACTCTCAAATATTTCCTTCTAGGAAATATCTGAGATATAAAGGCTATAATCGCTCCGCTTTCTCAACCAGAAAATGTCCGATTGAGCTAGAATTGTTTTTACAGATATTGAACACTGGTTGGGTTACCTAGTTTTTTTCATTTCTGTTTATCTCCTTCTATTCAAATAAAAAGATCAAAATACTGAGTACATCTGCAAAAATACATGTTTTTTAACCACATCCTGTACTATGTCGGAGAAGCTAGGGCGATCATGCACTTATTTTTGCGTAAAAATTCATTTCGAGAAAAATGAAAAACAAATTTTTTTGCCTATATCAAGACTTCTTTTTCTCCAACAAAAAAAAATTAATAACTGATCGTGTTCAGCGATTTTAGAGATTCATGACCCATGCTGTCAGCACCTTCAGAAATGATGACTAACAGAATCTTTGATACGAAGGATAATCGCAACGCGAGTTTTTCTGCTAAAGATTTCGAGAGTGAAGTTTAATAGAAGTACTAACTAACAACGAAGAGACACTTGAAGACTATCAAAAATCGAAAAAATTTTGATCTTAACATTCGAAAAGGAGAGAGTATTTCCTTTTTGAGATTTTAAATAGATATAAATTTTTGTCTTTTCTATTTTCTTTACTCACAAAGAATTTATTTTTGTGTATTCGTGAGTTACAATCTCATATTAAAACATAATTAGATTGAAGTCAAACATTCAAAAGAGATGAACAATTTTATGTAAGTCAGAATTTTCGAACTAGACTCAAGTTGGCTTCATTAAGAAAAAAAAGTCTTATTTCTATGAATAGTTAACGCGCGCCGTACTTCTCATCGGCATGTCATCTGGCAAAGTACGATGTTGTCCTGCTGGGTATCACCTCATTTTGCTGAGCACGATGCTTTAATAAATATTGTACCCGGTCAGACCTTCATATAACCCTTAGGTTATGTGAATGTAAATCATACATCTATTATATTTTTCATTAACATTCTTGAATCATTTATCTATAATTGTTGAAGTGAAGACACTTTGACAATTAAAGAAATATGTAGACCATGAATAAGAATAGTTTTATATATATTTAAAATATCATTTAGTCTATTCTATTTTTACTGTAGAATAAATTATTTTTAATATTTTTGTCTTTTTTTGTAATTTTCCATTAGGATACAGCAATCAGATCGCTTGAAGAACATTTAAACCAACTTGATAAACGTTTGACGCATGTTCTTGATTTAATTGAAACATATTGGAAAGCTGATTTACCAGAAAAAAATCAATATAATGAACATATATTTATTGATCATCGTCTCATGGAAGAAGTAATTTTATTTCATTTTATTTATTTTTTGTCTCTAAATTCATAACTATATTATTTATTTTTCTTGTTTAGAATAAACGTCTTCTATTTAATCAAAGAAAATATCTTCAAGATATTCAATTTTTAAAACAAAAATATCGAGAACAATCAAATCATTTAGAACAACTACTCGCTCAATTAACTGTAAGTTATTGAAACAAAAAAAAAAATTGGGTCTCCTTTTTTTTTGTTTTGTTTTCCCTCGTATTTTTTTCTGGTTCCCCTTACATTTGAGGAGAATAATCAATATATATCAGTTTTCCTTATTTAATATCAATTATTGCAGAAAGTGAATCGCAAAAAATCTGATACAGGCGAATATTTGGCATTGTTACGTAAGTTTTTTTTTCTTTTTGTTTGTTTGTTTGTAAACAAATATCAAAATTATTCACCAAACAAATAATTAAATTCACTTATATTAGTTTATTAAATGTGTTTGTGTAGTTTATTGTAGTATTTATGAATTATTCTTATTTGCTTCTAACTATTTTATTATTTTGTATGCATGTTTTAGTGATTGTGTATTCTTTAGCTTATTGATTACGATAACTTTACTACACTTTTTAATATATTTTGATAATTAATATTTTTTGAATCAAACTTCCTTTATTTTCTCAATATGAAAATGAGTTGTTATAAACAAAAGAGTATTTTAACGTAAAATAGTGTATGAACTGTTTGACATCAAACTATTTTTAGTAAATTTTATTTGATAGTTCATAAAGGATATAGAAGCTTATCACCTATTATTATAGAGCTCAATTACATCATTGGTTACAGTTAAGTGTGAGTAGAACGAAAAGTCATTGAGGGCATTTCTGAAAAAGGAGTACAGCATATCAGTTGTAATTCTAATGCCGAGTTTGGTTAAGATTATTTTCTATCAGAAGTCAATTTTTAGATCATTGTATAGAATTTTCATGATACATTTCACGAATATTGAACACATAAAAATAAAATTACAAATATTCTTTTTATGTCACCGAATGTCAGTGGTTCGGAGTATCCTTCAGATCAAGGTCTATGATGGGTTCTTGACTTATAGAAGTTCCTTTTCACTACACTTCAAAATACAGAACCGAAGATTGTTTTATTTGAAGAGGAACTAATTATCTCTTCATATGAAGGGAAGAAATTTTTGTATTGTTGCTATCTTTAATTTTGAGAACTGTCAAAACGTCAAAAGTCTGGAATCATCATAAGAAAGCTTCGAGGCATATGATCTTCCCTATACAACAACAGGCTTCTTAAACAGTCTCATCGCATCATTCAAAGGAGCATAAAGTGTTATAATCATTTTAAAAAAATGCGCAGTGTTTTTAGAACAAATGACATGAAAAAAGAATTTGAATGGAGGTGCATTGTTGATATGAAATATATTTTTCCTACTTTTTAATACCCATTATTAGACATCGCTATGAAACATATTGACCTCATATTTTCATGAAGAAAATTAATCAAGAATTTCAAGTCTATGCTACTATCAAAACACAGTTTTTGGAACACACATTTACTCATTGTTTTTCTTCAATTATTGCCTAGATTTGCTGAAGAATATAAACATACAGAACATAAGAAAGCTTTCTTATATCTTTTTGAACCCTTTCAAATTTAAAAATGTTTTTTTTTAAGGGAGATTTAAATCAGACAGTTCAAATATCATGCTCGTATGTTTGTCTCAAAAATTAGTCTCTTTTTTTTTTGAATGAAAATGAACTTTTGTAAAAAGTAAGATGGTAGTCTTGATGCTTTTGTTGTTTAGCTCGATCGTATGAATATCTGTCAAAACGTAGGAAGTACAGTGCCCAAGATAATCAAGATGTATAAGTTGTCAACAAGTTTGACTATCTTCGATGTTGACGGATAAGATGTTAACCGTCTTTGAATTACAGCAGAACATGTTTTTTCCCAAGATAGAAAGAATACAATTTTATGGTGCATTTCATAGTAGAATATTAATCAAAAAAAAAGAATCTAAGACAAGTGTGATATTAGATTATAATAAATAAGGGTATGTCGAGCATATCTTTTTCTTCTATTTTAGTCCAGCCAACATTAGATGTTCTTCAAAAAGCTCGTTCAAATATTGAACATCATTTAAAAGAATCAAATACAAATAATATACCACCCGGTAGTGCTCAAACACATCGTCGTCATCGTTCTAATCGTAAAGATTAGATTAATTATGTTGGCTTTTTTTGAAATTTTTCTTGTGTTTTTTTTTTAATTTTGTTTAAATAGTTCATTTTTTTGTGTGTGTGTATGCGTGTGTTTGTTTTTTGCTTGTCAATGTCTCAGGAGTTTCCATATTAGAATCGATTAATATTCTTTTGTCCACAAAAATTAAATAATGTCGTTTTTCTATTATAAAATATAATTTAATTAAAATAATTATGATCAAAATATAAATCAATTAAATCATTGAAAATAATTTTATGTTTTCTAAAATTGTTTTTCTTTATTAGTCAAAAAATCTTTATTAAGATACCAAAATTTATCAAGATGTTTGCTACATGACCCTGAACCATTTGTAATATTTCATATTTTGTTAAATGTTTTTCTTGTTACAACATTGATAATACTAAAAACATTACGAAGCTAATCATATATTATATTAGATTTATTTACAGGACACTATTTGTGGACATTAACGGCTTAATAATATAGGTTTTGTGTCTTTTTCAATTTGAGTCAGTGACAATATTGTCTCTTTAATAATAAATGAAGGATTTTTCTTTTATGGCCTGGTTTTATAATTTTTTTTTGCATCTTTCAATGTCGAGATTTGAAAACAAAGAAAATCGTTTCGCGTTATTATTATGACAATAATTAATTACGTCAAAAAAAAGAATACATTGAAACTAAACGAATTGATAATACAGTAATTTTGTTAGGTTAGAGCGGCACAACTCTTTTTCGTCCAAATAATACAATCCATACATTTCATAATAGGAAACAGTCAAACAGAACATCAAGTCAGATGATTTTTGCTGTCATTGATTGCACAGCAAGAGATACATTCAGTGTCTCTTTTTGTTTTGAAGTTGTCGTTAGTTAGCTGACTAGCTTGTGATACAATCATATAATTCTTTCCACTAAAGTCTTTTATTCTTTTCTGTCATTTGAATACAATCATTTGCAATATCTTTCTTCGCAAAGCAAAAGATTTTTAGTTTTTTATATGAGTCATGTTGATTTTTTTTCTGATGATAATTATTTTCATGTGCATTTGTAATTAGATCATTAATAAGTTAGTTAACATATTTTTTCTGCATCAATGTCTGTATGATCAATGGTTTGCTGATAGAATATAAACATAAAAGATGTCATAATCAATAAGGTCATCAAATAGTTTTGGATCTAATTTATATCTATTTATAGTTCTCAAACAAAGGTTTCTTTCTAGAAATGATTTTCTTTTTGGAGAATCAATATAAAGAAACGGATAACATCTGATTTTCTTACAGCATCTAAAATCAAAGAATAAAAATATAATATTCAATAATATTCATCCTTCTTATTTCTTAGATTTATACTACGTCTTTAAGTTAAAAATACCACATATTAAACTTTTAAAAGCCTAAGTCCAAAGATGCATTGAACTGGAAAATCTTGAAAAGAAGAACAAAAACAGCTGTGTATAACGTGAATTTTTCTTTTCCTAATTTCGTCATATCCGCAATTAGGTCAAGAATATCATGAAGAAGAAGTTTTTCTTCCGTTAAATTTCTCCTTATAATCTTCGTCATGTGTAACATACATATTTACAAGGCTATCTTTATTGTTACATTATTATTATTATTTCCGTAGAAAATTATTTATTTATACCATAAATTATCCACCATATATTCCGTCGTAATTATCGTTTTTGGGTATTTTTAAGGTGTTATTCTAGTTGGTCTTTTCGTTTTCATTATACAAGTGCAAAGAACTTTTTAACAGTCTCTTTAGAGTCAACGAATAGTTTTAATAATTATTCAATAGATCGAATCATTATTGATTCAAATGAATCGTTAAAATTCTTATATCTACAGTATTTGATCAAGCAGAAATGTTCAGATATGTGTATATGAATCGAAGTCACGAATTTCTATTTCGTCAGTTCAAAATACAAAAAAGTTCTGATGAAGCCAATTGTTCTAATGGTTTAACAATAAAAGTTAATTATTTTAACAGAAAAAATCCATGATGATCTTTAGAATATACATTCAAAGCAAGAAAACTAGGTTTAAAATTTATTATATAGATTATAGTTTCATCGCTAACTTCTATCTTGAGATTTACGACCTGTCAGTGTTGATTCTTTTTTTCTTTATTAATAATCATATCGATAAATGCACTCTCTGGACTTTTCTCGATGAGAGTGCAAAAAAAAAGAAATACAGAAAGAAAACTCTGATAGAGAAAAAAAAAGAAAAGATCAGCATCTGTAAGATGATAATAATGAAGGTCACACTATCGATATTTACTAATGGAACAATGATGTAATTACGATATCAGAATATTATCGAAAATATCAATGACAACTATGATTGTAGCACGGTAATTAAACATTGATTTGAAGTTTTGTTTTTTTCCTATTTAAAACTGAAAAAATAGATACTATAATTATTATTCATGTGTCTTTATTTCATATGATTAACGGATGTTCACCTACTTATTATAGAAGAACTAAATGTGTTCCATTAAGCAATAAATTACTAATGGATGAACAACAGTTACATAAATGAAATAAAGGCGACATGCAGTCTGTCTACAATGCAAAGCATAGAAAAAAAAACTTAGAAAGATTTAAAAAAAAAGAAAAAAAAGATGTTTCTATCTCAATGAATGCTTAACACTGATTAAAAATGTATTGCTAGTTCATTTAGAAGAGAAAAAGACATACGATCTTGATAGAAATTATGAAAAAGTCTTTTTATCTTGATAATATATACTTTTTAATTAAATATTAATATAGATAAACTTATTTATTAAGCTAAGAGTAATATCAAATTTATAAGCTCTTTTAATGTCATATTGTTTTACAACATTACAAATGAGAAGTAGAAGAATAATCTATTAAATATTTATCGAAGTGTTCTCTTCATTCCACCGTTGTTTTATAATTAACTAAAATTTTACTATTGAAAACGATGGTTTTTTCATATAAAACTATTGTCAATAAAAAATATAATAGACTTAAAATTTACTCAGATATTTCGATATTTTTTAATAAATGATGTGAAAAAAAACTCTAAATGAGAACTATATTATGTCTAGGAAGCAAACAAATCACTATACTCGATGTTTCTTAATGGTTTTCTTTTTTCTTTTTATAAATACGCGTAAATGACATAAGAAAAGGTCGAGTACATGGTTTTATTTTTGGAATCAATAATCATTTTCTAGCAATTTGTCACAAGTTTTATGAATAATGATCGAAATATTTGAATAAATTACAGTATACCAAGTACTCTAAAAATTTTGCTAGACTATTGTTTTTTGAAAATGTTCAAGCAAAGATATAATACACGATTTGAACTGTTCTATTTAAAGATATACAATATAATTGTCTTCAAGATCTAATTACTATTAATAAAAAGTCCAGAGGTTCCTCTATAAGACTTAATAAATAAGATCTACGTCAGACACATATTTTGTAGTTTGTTTGAAGCAATGTTTAATTGCAAAAAAAGAATATAGTGCTAAGTAACACTATAAAAACACTATCGAATAAGTTCAATAAGATGTTTTTTCATACACAATGTTTTGATTCAATTGCAAACAACGTTTTAAGTAAAGTGACGTTTTCTTTATTGAGTTACTCGTTTTCAAAACAAATATTCTATAAGTATATTATATTCGTAGTTAGAGAAATTTTTAGAGAATCCATTTGTTTTTCTACTTGAAGTTCTAGTAACACTGTCTAAATTGAATTAGCTGAAAAAAAGTTCGAAAATTGCATTTGTTATTTAATGCTTAGACAGACGATTATTCCATATATATTTTTATCAAATACTTGTATAATATTCTGAAAATGCATTTGATGTGAAACCCAATAGGCATTACAAAGTCTTTTGGGCATTTTCTTAATATTTTAAAAGAATTTTGAGAACACAAAAAAGAATTTCTAAGAAGTCGATACCATTCACTGAAACACATAATATGCAGCTAATATAACCTTGTAGTTCGATTATTTAAATTTCATAAGAGCATGACAACAATTATAGTGTGTATATTTCGACGAGAAAGTTCTAATATTGCAAAACCTTTGTTCTATCTGATGTTACGTTGAGAATAGTCGTACTTTGTTAACAACTTGATTTTATGATTATCACATTATTTTTTTATCTTTTTTTGTACTAGAATACCGCTATAAGCCTATCATTAACACATTACTAATTCAGGTTCGTTGAATTACTTATTCGTAGGAACATTTTCAAAGTAGTGTCAAAGAAAAGAAGAACAAATAAAATCGTTAAATCAAAGTCTGTGAAAACGCTATCTATATCATACATTATTTGTCAATAGAAAATAAAAGTATCATTATTTTCATATTTTTTCTTGTCATAATGCATGATATAGAAAACCAAATATTAGAGATTTTTTTTAGTGTTCCCATACAGGAAAAAGGGTTCAAAATAGAATAGTCAAAGTACATGACTTCTTAACTTCCTATCCTTGATGGACTATCGTGTGTTCATCATGAAGGACATGTTTCTTTCTGTCATTAACAATTATTTCATTTTCTTTTTATGGTTTTTATACATCGAATTCATCTATCAATAGAAAGAAAAAGAAACAAAGAAGAGAAACCAAGATAAAACATTTTGTATAATATTATTAGCATTCTTTCTACGTAATAGTTTCTTTACTCTACTATCAACAATTTTTAGGTGCTGAAGTATAATCTTAATAGGTAAGATAAATTAAAATAATTGACTAATAGATGACAAGAAAACAATTAATGGAAATGACTCTTTATAATAATAGGTGAAAAAAAGCTATTACGATTATAATGATTTATTATTAATTCATAAAGAAAGGAATTACAATATAAGAACACTATATAAATTATTCAAGAAGAAAATTTCCTTTAAAACTTTTTTTTCTCATAAGTCCGTTTTGTTTCGTAAATTAAGTAGGTAGTTTATTAGTTAAACAATAACAGCGTAGGAAGAAAAATTACTAAAATT